GGGGGGAGGGGTGGGAGGGAAGTGGGATATGGTATGGAAAATTATTTAAAACTTTTAATAAAAAAAAGAAAAGAAAAGAAGAAATAGGGGTGACCTGATAGCAGCATTCCAGTATTTGAGGGGCTGCCACAAAGAAGAGGGGGTCACGTTATTCTCCAAAGCACCAGAGGGAAGGACAAGAAATAATGGATGGAAACTGATCAAGGAGGGAAGCAACCTGGAATTAAGGAGGAATTTCCTAACAGTGAGGACAATTAACCAGTGGAACAGCTTGCCTCCAGAAGTTGTGGGCGCTCCATCACTGGAGGTTTCCAAGAAGAGATTGGACAGCCATTTGTCTGGAATGGTATAGGGTGTCCTGCTTGAGCAGCGGGCTGGACTAGAAGACCTCCAAGGTCCCTTCCAGCTCTGATTCGGATATAGACACATGAGAGTTTGGATTTAAAAAAAAAGCTGCCTGGCTAAAAATTGAGATGGCAGTAGGCAGTTTTAATCTTCAGCAACTTTCTCCTAAACATGCACAGATTGCCAACCGGTAGAGAATTGCACAGGCTGTAATGGATTTATAGATGTGCGATGACGTATGTGGCCAGTAACTCCATGCATGCACGTTTTCCATAAACGTTAGAGAAATGCTTCATGCATTGAATAAAAGGCCGTACATCGCCCGCCCTTCAACATGAAAGCTGTGATTAATAAAGGACATATAAGGTATCACTGTACATGTCAAATTGATGGACGGCTGCAATAACCTAACTCCAAAATTTGCATCAGAATTAAGAGGATTTCTTAGGAAGAACATTATTTTTGTTTTCATTTTATTGCTTTGCTTTTTGTATGGTATCCCTTTCTTTCTTTCTTTCTTTCTTTCTTTCTTTATTTATTTCTTTCTTTCTTTCTTTCTTCTTTCCTTCCTTTCTTCCTTCCTTCCCTCTTTCTTTTTTCTTTCTTTCTTTCTTTCTTTCCTTTTTCTTTCTTTCATTCTTTCTTTCCTTCTCTTTCTTTCCTTCCTTTCCCTCTCCTTCCTTCCTTCCTTCCTTCCTTCCTTCCTTCCTTCCTTCCTTCCTTCTTTCCTTCCTTCCTTCCTTCCTTCTTTTTCCTTTTTCTTTCTTTCTTTCCCTTTCTTTCTTTCCTTCCTTCCTTCCTTCCTTCTTTCCCTCCCTCCCTCTCTCTTTCTTTCTTTCCTTCCTTCCCTTTCTTTCTTTCTTTCTTTCTTTCTTTCCCTTTCTTTCTTTCTTTCCCTTTCTTTCTTTCTTTCCCTTTCTTTCTTTCCTTCCTTCCTTCCTTCCTTCCTTCCTTCCTTCTTTCCCTCCCTCTCTCTTTCTTTCCTTCTTTCCTTCCTTCCTTCCTTCCTTCCTTCCTTCCTTCCTTCCTTCCTTCCTTCCTTCCTTCCTTTCTTTCTTTCTTTCTTTCTTTCTTTCTTTCTTTCTTTCTTTCTTTCCCTTTTTTTCTTTCCTGTGAACCGGCCAGAGTCTTTACAGCTGGTAGAAACCAATGTTATGCCGAGAGTACTTCAAGGCATCCCAAAATCAGTACAATAACTTTGTTTCCTCCCTTTCTGAAAACTCTAAATAATGCAACAGGAGCCTAGTTTTGTGATACTTGCAAGTTTTTGCTTAGAAATAACTTCCAAGTAAACACTGAGGGCTTTTCTGTTAAGAATTGTCTTAACTTTCCTCGGCGGGTTGAAAAATGAGGAGGCTGAGACTATTTTGCTGGACTTTGGGGGAAGTGTAAGGAATTTAGGAGGTACTTGAGGTACTTATAAAGCTCTGGGTTCCTGTCTGGGCTGTTAACCCAAATGTCGGAGGGTACCTGTGGCTGTTGAACAGTTAAATCTTCACCTTGGAAATCAAATCCCGTTGAGTGTAAGAGCTTGCTAAGATTATCCTTGTGGGTGTCCTCTTGCAAAATTAATGTGTTCCAGGTGGTTGTCCCCTTCATTGGCCAAGTGTTTAAGATGGGCCTTAAATATTTCTTCTTTATGTAGTGTGTGTGCATTGTGGGGGGGTGTCTCTTGATTTTAGGCAGCGGGTTGTGGGGGAGAAGAGGAATCTGACGAAAGTTTCAAAGGAGCTGGAGAGATAGTAGTTGGGGGTCCTTCAGAAGTTGCCTTCAGAAGCTGTGGGAGCTTCATCTCTGGAAGCTTTCAAGAAGAGACTGGAGTGCCGTCTGTCAGAAATGGTGTAGGGTCTCCTTGCTTGGGCGGTGGTGGTGGTGTTGGACTAGATCGAGGGTAGTCAACCTTGGCTCTTTTATGACTCGTGGACTTCAATTCCCAGAATTCCTGAGCCAGCTTAGCTGGCTCAGGAATTCTGGGAGTTGAAGTCCACGAGTCATAAAAGAGCCAAGGTTGACTACCCCTGGACTAGATCAAGACTTTTCAACTAGTGGTACGGTTACCACCTGTGGTACATTGGCACCTGGCAGGTGGTACGCGGCCATCCTAGAAAAGTGGTAGCAGGGGAGGGGAATGGGCTGAACCAGTGGCAGCACCGCACAAGCCTGAGCGAGAGACGGATGGAGCTGCAGGGCTGTTGGCTCAGCGGAAGCGCCAGGATCAGCGCCAGGCTCCAGCTGGAGCTCAGTGCTGATCCTGGCGCTTCTGCTGAGCCCTGAAGAAGCGCCAATCAGCTGGAATGTTGCAGCATCTCCAGGGTCTTGTGATTTACATTCAGATGCTTCTGCAACTGATTCATATTTATGATAGTCACAGTGTCCCAGGGTCATGTGAAGTGACCAAAACCTGCTGCAACCAGCAGATGGGGGGGGAAATAAAAACCAAACACCCCCACCCCACCCTCGCTGCCAATCCTCAACAGAAATGCTCACAACAATGAAAACCTCGGACAGGAGGAAGAGCGCCGCCAGGTGGGCAGGCAGGTGTCTTGCTTGGCTATGGCTTGGGGGGCACCTTTTTTTAGTGCCATTGTAACTTCAAACAGTCACTAAGCGAACTGTTGTAAGTCGAGGACTACCTGTACTTTATCACTTTTTTCCTTTTTGGGGGGGGGGGTCATCAAGTTTTTGACACCTTGCTAGGCAACTGGTGGTACTCGGATGTTGCCATATCCTAAAAGTGGTACAATGGGCGAAAAGGTTGAAAAGCCCTGGACTAGAAGACCTCCAAGGTCCCATCCAACTCGGTTATTCTATTCAGTTGAGGGCTGAAGAACTGCTGGTGGTGAACCCCTTTCGGGACATTTCTGCCTTCCGCAGAAAACAGGCATCTGCCTTCGCCTGGCGATGCTGCAGCCTCTCCCGTGGAAAGCGCATGGTCCAGCTGGTTTCCGATTTCTTCTGCTTCTGAATTTCTCCCCTGTTCTCTCTGGGCTTTGCAGGTGCCTGGTGGAACCTGACTCCAGGAACGCCACACCTGGGTGACCTTCTGAGCTGGGAAAAGACTTGAGAGGCTTATGTGGAGCTGCTGGTTGAAGTCCCAGCGCCTAGCCAAGATACCCAGGAGAAGGGAAAAGGAGAAAGGCGAAGAGCACCAGAGGTGAAAACTGCTGTAGCCATGGTAGGTCCTGCTGGCTGGTCACCCCGGGGGGGTGGGGGGGAAGAAAGAGCTTCAGTCTGCAGCATGGAGGGGGCCTGTTCCAGGCCGAGTAACCAGCTTTGCTAAACCGGCTAGCTTGTGAAACAGGGCTGTCCTGCTCTTCAGCTGTGAAAAACAGACCTTGATTTATAGCAGGGACCGTTGTGGAAGCCCCAGCGTGGAGGCTGCCGTGGCATGAATTATTAAGCGCCAGTGCAGACGATGGGCATAAATAACCTTTGCTAATAAAAGTGACATTTGCGAGTTGCAACCTTGAACTCAGAGGGTCCGTGGGGAGGGGTTGCCCTCTGCCCTGAGGTTCTTCATGGCTGGGATTTTTTTACCCCCTTTCCCCTGCCAGATGGCATTGATAGGAGTATATATATGTATGTATGTATGTATGTATGTATGTATGTATGTATATGTATGTATGTATGTATGTAGGTCTTTGGTTATTCAGGTTTTCTCCCGCGTAAAATTGGAAGTGTCTTGGCGACGTTTCGATGAAGTCCCATTCGTCATCTTCAGGCTGGTGTTTTCGGCTTCGTGCTTCTAGGAGCAATCTAGCACGAAGCTGAAAACACCAGCCTGAAGATGACGAATGGGACTTCGTCGAAATGTCGCCAAGACACTTCCAATTTTACACGGGAGAAAACCCGAATAACCAAAGACCTACATACAAACACCCGCGAAAACCTCAGAAAACAAACACACACACACACACACACACATTCCGCCACCCTGGGAAGTGGGTTTCCCCTTCTGTGGTCTTCTTTGATGGTGGGGGACACAGAGGGTGGGTCTGCAACCTCTCCCCAAAATAGCCGAAGAGAGGGACGGCTTTGAGGAGTCCTGGACATTACTTGGATGCTGAGGCTGGAGGTTGACAGTACCGTCGATTCAGTAAGGCCAACCAAGAAGATCAAACATCTGGGTCTTCCAGATGTTATCGCTTGAGGTGGGAGGCCAGAGGGTTGCCTCCCACTTCTAGTCATCTGAGCCCAGATTGAGATACTTTATTCCTGTCAGGGTGACATTTCACCTCCCTTTGAGGTCCTCTTCCTTTGGAGAAAGATGAGGTGGTGAGTAACCAGCCTTCCTTCGCCTGAGGACCAGTTGAAATGAGGTGCTTCCTTATTCCTTTCTTCTGGGAGGAAATTTAGAAGAGAAGAGAAAAGAGAAGAGAAGAGAAGAGAAGAGAGCATGACGAACCTTTTAGAGACTGAGTGCCCAAACTGGAATCCAAAACCCACTTATGCATCGTCGAGTGCCAGGTGGGCGTGGCCCACTGGGTAGGCATGGCTTTGGTGGTAACGGCAGACTGGGTGAGACTAAAAAGTTCAATCAATCAATTCCAACTTTGCAAGATCTTTTTTTTTTCCACGAGAAGTTGAAATTGACTGATTGAAACTTTTTTTTTTTTTGCACATGGCGGCGGAGGCCTAAAGCAAAAAAGTTTTATAAAACCCAGCTGAAGGCCTAGGACTGGGGCAACGGCACGCGTGCCCACAGAGAGGGCTCTGAGTGCCGCCTCTGGCACCCATGCCATAGGTTCGCCACCACTATTCTCTGGAATAGAGAATAGACTAGAATGCAGAATAGAATAGAATAAGAATAGAATAGAATAGAATAGAATAGAATAGAATAGAATAGAATAGAATAGAATAGAATATAGAATAGAATAGAATAAGAATAGAATATAGAATAGAACGGCAAATGCGCCAACACTGGAAGTTTTTAAGAAGAAACTGGACAGCCATTTGTTCGAAATGGTATAGGGTTTCCTGCCTGAGCAGGAGGTTGGACTAGATGATCTCCGAGGTCCCTTCCAACTTTATCATTATTATTATTATTATAGAATAAGAATAGAATGCAGAATAGAATAGAATAGAATAGAATAGAATAGAATAGAATAGAATAGAATAGAATAGAATAAATATTGGAGGAATAGAATAGAATAAGGATATAGAATAGAATAGAATAGAATAGAATAAGGAAATAGAATAGAATAGAATAGAATAGAATATCTTTATTGTCATTGTGTAACTCACAACGAAATTAAGTAAAAAAAAATCAATGAAAACCGAGGGGTTTTGTCTTCCTGCTAACCTCAAGGACTCTTCTGGACCAAGACTGTTTTCAGCCATGGCTAACCAAATGCCCGTCGGCAGGTCCTTGGGATGTTGGGATGAGGTTCTGTCGGGTTCTCATGATGGTGTCATGATACATGGCTTGGTCGCTCAACAGTGAGACACTGGTGAAGCGGGCACAGCAACGCCTGCGTTTTCTGCCTGTCCTCACCACTTTCTATAGAGGGACGATCGAGAGCATCCTCTCATATGACATCACTGTCTGGTTTGGAAGCATCCTTGCTTCGGACGGGAAGGCGATACAGAGAGTGGTGAGGACAGCAGAAAAGATGATTGGCAGTTCCCTCCCATCCAGGACATGGCACAGAAGCGTTGCTTGAGCAGCGTCTGCAACATTGTCTAGGATGCTACACATCCTCTCCACGACCTGTTTTCCTTGTTACCTTCCGGGAGGAGGGGGCTTCGTGATATCCGAAGCAGAACATCCAGTTTTGTTCCATACAGTATCAACCTTGTGAACTCTCAAGCTTCCTCCTTCCATTATGTCAGTGGTGGCGAACCTATGGCACGCGTGCCAGAGGCGGCACTCAGAGCCCTCTCTGTGGGCACTTCTCTGAACTGCTGGTGGTGGGCTGTGGAGCCCCAGAGTGCGCCGGTCGAAGGGCCAGCAGGCTGTGGCTGCTGACGGACATTGTCGGCCCCCATGCGCTCGCTGGCCTCTGTGTGCGGGGGCCGACGGTGTCAGGCAGCAGCTGCCCTGGCCCCTGCCTCGCCTTGCCCTGAGATAATGGCACCCCCACCCTGCGTCGCCTCACCCCGCAGGACGAGCCTCCTACCCACCACCCCACCTGCCAGAGACCCCCTGGATCTCCCCCAACCCTGCCCGGCCCCCACAGGCATCCCTCCCAAGCAACCACGCCCACCTTGGCCACACCCACCCAATCTGCCATGACCACCACAGCCCCGCCCACCCAGTGGGCCACGCCCACCTGGGTTGCAGTTTGGCCACTCGGTCTCTGAAAGGTTCGCCATCACTGCGCCATCTTCAAGACGGACAGTGATTAATATTTATATGTATTTGCATGTCAGGATGTAGGTCGTATATAGCATTTTTATATGCGTGTTATGTATGTGTACGCTTTTGAGAGCGAGCAACGGAATTTCATGTTTAATGTGTGCCAGTGTGCCCACGGTAACAAAAAAATGACAATAAAGGTGATCTTTATTGTTATCTTGTCATCTTGCCTAATTGGTTTCTCTATCGTCTTGGGGATCCTCGCCTTGACCTCGGTTCCTTCTCGCCCCTCCCCGCAGAGATCAATCCGATCGTTTGCCAACGATGACCGGCACGTGATGATGAAGCATTCGACGATTTATCCGTCTCCAGAGGAACTCGAAGCCGTCCAGAACATGGTCTCCACCGTCGAGTGTGCCCTTAAGCAGGTCTCCGATTGGATGGACGAGACGAGCAAGTCTTCTGGGATGGAGGGCAGCTTGGAGGACCAAGAGGAACCGGCTGATGGCCGGAGTAGCAAGTGAGTGGATGAAACGCGGGCTGACCCGTTTTTATATTCTAGCTAGATCCACCATCTGGTGCTGGGTGGAAAATCTACTCTAGCTCAGTAGGTGATCTGTTTGGTCTGTGAAAGTTCGTGGGTGTGGAGAATATTAGGAAAGAAGGTGAGACATCCTCTTCCTGGCAGAAGACGAGGTCTCCCCTCTTCTTCCCTACGTAGAATATAGAATAGAATATAGAATAACAGAGTTGGAAGGGACCTTGAAGGTCATCTAGTTCAACCCCCTGCTCAGGCAGGAAACCCTATACCATTTCAGACAAATGGCTGAAGACTACTTGTAAAGCTGCCTTCTGTAATTGACCGATTTGATCAATCCCGATGGTGGTAATAATAATAATAATTAATAATAATAATAATAATAATAATAATAATAGTAGTAGTAGTAGTAGTAGTAGTAGTAGTTAGAAGGGACCTTGGAGGTCATCTAGTTCAACCCCCTGCTCAGGCAGGAAACTCTATATCATTTCAGACAAATAATAATAATAATAAAGTTGGAAGGGACCTTGGAGGTCATCGAGTCCAACCCCCTACTCAGGCAGGGAACCCTATGCCATTTCAGACAAATGATTGTCCAGTCTCTTCTTAAAAACTTCCAGTGTTGGAGCATTCACAACTTCTGGAGGCAGGTTGTTCCATTGGTTAATTGTTCTAACTGTCAGGAAGTTTCTCCTTAGTTCCAGGTTGCTTCTCTCCTTGATTAGTTTCCATCCATTGCTTCTTGTCCTGCCCTCAGGTGCTTTGGGAAATAGCTTGACTCCCTCTTCTTTGGGGCAGCCCCTGAGATATTGGAAGACTGCTATCATGTCCCCCCTCATTCTTCTCTTTATTAAACTAGACAGTCCCAATTCCAGAAGCCATTCCTTATATGTTTTAGCCTCCAGTCCCCTAATAGTTTTTGTTGCTCTTCTCTGCACTCTTTCCAGAGTCTCAGCATCTTTTTTACATCGTGGTGACCAAAACTGGATGCAGTATTCCAAGTGTGGCCTTACCAAGGCATTATAAAGCAGTACTAATACTTCATGTGTTTCCATCCATTGCTTCTTGTCCTGCCTTCAGGCACCTTGGAGCATAGCTTGACTCCCTCTTCTTTGGAACAACCCCTGAGATATTGGAACACGGCTATCATGTCCCCCTTGGTCCTTCTCTTCATTAAATTAGACATACCCAATTCCAGCAACCGTTCCTTATTATCTTTTAGCCTCCAGTCCTCTGATCATCTTTGTTGCTCTTCTCTGCATTTTTTATGTCCAGGAAAGTACCCTATTTCCCCCCAAATAAGAAATAACTGGAAAATAATCCCTAGCATGATTTTTCAGGAGGCTCATAATATAAGCCCCACCCCAACAATAAGCCCCAGTTAAGATGGTCAGCCAGACGGACGCATTTAGTACCGTATTCCTCCGAAAATAAGACCTCGTGCATCTTTTGGAGCAAAAATTAATATTAAAACCCGGTCTTATTTTGGGGGAAATACAGTCTCAGGGTTGGGCTTGAGTAACCAGCTCATCTTGTAGCTCCTTCTAAGATCTTGAGATCTTCTGGGCCAGAATTTGTGGAGAAACAGAAGAGCTGAGCTACCATCGTCTTCCAGAGTCAGTGAGAGAAGAGAGCTGGCAATGCAGGGCTGGCCATGGGGGTGGGGGGGACATTGCCTGCCGCACACTCTCCAAGGACGGGGAGCATGTGTCAGTTGCGTCCTGTGCAGCTGTCAGCTGAGTCGTCTCCGGGTTAAATAAGGCGAGACAGAGGGAGACGCGTTGGGGACGGCCTCTGAGTAACATTTGGTGCTCAGTTCCAAGTCGGTGGAGTTCAACATGTAACCTGACATGGCTGTGGGGGCCTTTGCTAGATTAGCAGTTAGAGAAGATCTTAAACTCGTCGTCCTCCTCCTCCTGCTCCTCCTCCTGCT